TACTTATCCACGGCTAGAGTGTATACCACCGCCGTTGCGGCCGCACCGCCACCACAACCGCCGCGCCCAAAGACCAGCGGAGCATCAGTAGCCGGTGCATGAGAAAGCTCTTCTTAATAAACGGAACCCGGAACGCTCTTTATACCCATTACACCTACCTATTACGCTCTGTACGGCGCACGAGTATCATTGCGTGGATAAATATGGGTGATGTATATTTTATTCGAGTAACGATAGTACATGTATGTATATATTTATACCCATTAAAGATCATTTGGATTATTATGGGCTGTTTGGTTGGGTTGCTAATCATTTTTCGCTCGAAAGCAGATTTTTCCGTTGACGCACGGATAAGTAGATACGTTGTTTGCCTTTGAGAATCGCTGGGCTTTGTGGATTCTTAAAAAAAATACATATATCCGGGGATGGCAAGTTATCGATTTCTTTTTTAATCGATGCTAAAAAAAAAAAAAAAAAAAAATTGGTTGAGATGTACTGTGCTTCACGATGATGAAAAGGTGTTTACTTTACACGAAAGTATATTTAACCATTTAGTTGGCTAATTGAACGTTATTACCTATTTTTAGAGGCTTTTTACATTTGAGCTTATTATAATAATAATATATTGTTACAAGTAGACCATTGGAACGATCATTTGTGCTCACTCGAGCAGTTTCATATGGCTGGGTGAATCTTTTTTGCCATTTAAACACACGAGTGGTGGCCAAATATCGTGTTTCTACTTCGTTGAGCGGGTAAAATAAGGGCAAACGTAGTATTTTGATATCGCGGGGCACCGAAAATTCATACCTCGATTGCCATCCGTGTAAAACAGATATTATACCACGGAAATTGAAGTAGAAAGAAAAACCATTGGAAAACAAAATTGGATTTTTTTTTTTCGTCCATCATTTGTTGTTAATTTACTTTTATGGTACCTTTCAAAATAACGAAGCGAATAACTTTATTGGAAAATTTAATTAAAAGCTTCAAAGTACGTATAGACGAAAGCCCATTGTACTTATTATTTTGATGCCCCGTGGGCCAGGAGGAAATAAAGCAACAACCGACACAATGGCAAATATTTTCTTTCCAACGATGAGCCGTTCCTTTTTTTGATAAAACATCCATTAATGTATTTTTCTACGTGAAAGGAAAAAGCGAGAAAAATGTTTTTTATAAGCTACTTAATATTTCAATGTGAAGTGCAGCGTTTTGCTGTCATCAAAGAGTCAAAGGCTCGAAAACATAAACCATATTCAAAGCATCAAAATCAAAATAAACTGTAACCACTCGCGCAAGTCGGTCGAGATATGCTGTCCATTTTATGACTTACTATTTTAAAGAAAACTTTCAGAATACGTACATAGCAAGACAAAAAAAAAAAAAGCATAGGTACGAGAATATTTGCAGTGAGCCCCCCAACACACGGCTATAAATAAACATGTACATCTCCCCGATACTCTTCCTCCCTTGTTCCGAACCGCTGTGGAATATAACAGACACACACACACACGTATATGTATAGGGACTCAGCTGGCGAAAACTATGTATGTGTATACCGACGTTTCTTCTTCTTCTCGCGAAAGCCTCATCCTGCGCCATAGTGCTGCCACTGCCTCACCCTGTGCCGCCACTCGATGAATATTCACAGCGATTTTGCGGCCAAAAGTTTCGCTCTCCGTCTCTGTGCTGCCGCAAGCTCGCTCTCTCATTTTAATTAGGGCAAAAAGTCGAATGAGGAATGGAAAGAGAAGAAAATCCGAGCGGAGCCGAGCTTTGCTCACAGGGGAGAAGCTGAATCGCGGAGACGATAAATTTCCACTGTACATGCACGTGTTACCTATACGTATACGCGTATAGACACGCGTGATGGAGTAAATATAGATATGCCAGTTCGGCCGTGATAGCGCACGTGTATAAGCTCTCTGTTTCCTCTTCATCCCTTATCTTTGAGCTTTTCCCTTTCTTAATGCTCCGTTTCCTCTTCCTCTAATTGTTGTCTGGTCTATTGTACGCTGCAAAGCGTATACGTGTGTTCAAGTATACCTACTCTTCGTGTTCATATGGCTGTGGTATATGGTCATGTTTTTAGATACGGCCAATGTATGGAAGTGCCTCGTATTCATTGTCAAAGATAAAAGTGCAACCACTTGTTAATCATTTATTTTTTAAGTGAAACGAATTTTGTACAAACCCGAGTAGAAGAGTAATCCTATAGGTGGTCATAGCGTATATGAGCGTACATTATCGAGTTTGTCGACTTTGTTTAGAAAAAGACATTTTTTTTTTTTCATTTTTGTTCAGAGAATATATTGTGTATTTGGTTTCCGTCCCAAAGTAAAATTTTGTCAGCATATTTACTGTAGTACTCTTAGGAAAAAATAAAGAAAGTTTTTTCACAATAACCAAGCCAAAGTCGAGGATTACAATAAAATACAAGTTTTTGTATATTATACGTACATTGTACTTTGGTACGAAGATGCTCCGCAATGCAAAACAGATAAGTAAACACGAAAGAAATAAAATAAAATTCTACAACAAACTGTTAAGTACGGAAGTTGTGGAGTTCATTAAAATATAACTTTTTTGTTTGGTAAGGTGTTCTCTCAAGTCCCGTCTTAACACTCTAAACGGTGGAAAATCATTCCAAAAAGGCCATAAATTCGTTTCGTAGCATCTAACTTTTTTGTACACTTACTGACTTATATTTTTTTTTTACTAACCGTTTTTGTCCATTTTGTCGTCCCAACAGTTTAAAGAAAAATTTTTTTTGTATGGTTCTTAATATCGGAAAAATCGCGGAACTTATCGTAAATTGTCTTAAAATAAAATCCAGTAATTCAAATTACACTGTTTTTTTCTGGAAATCCATAGATTGGTCATGTCATACGCGCAAGACGTGGTGTGTTTTTTGCATACATTTATCTCCGCTTGTTCCAGTTGAGATTATTTCACGAAAGCTTATTTAAGATCTGATGGCAGCATCGCCCAGATTTACATGTTCTATGCTAGAGTGCACTGTTAATTATGGCGTGATGAAGTAAAACATTCAATTAAAGTTTGTGAAATAAAATTTCAATTAAAATTGACACGAGAAGCTTCCAAAATGCAAAATATTTGCACGACAGAATTTTTAACGTCCCGTTAATAGGTGACCATTATAATAATAATTGTACTGATCGCGGCAGGGGCTGGTTGAACAATCGATGATTAATCGATTTGGTTGTAGTTCTGTGGATTCACAATGAAAGCTCTTGCAGTTGCTTATTCATGTACTTGGTCGTATGATTAATTAATCGATGTATGCACAAATAGCACCAGTTTGGAAAATCACGTGCCATCACGGTGGGGGGGGGGGTATGCGCCAGATTCGTCGATCACTCGTATACACGTATATGTATAACAGAACAGAAGGAGTCTGGGATAAATCAATGAGATGGCTCTCGTACACCCATACGTAATAAGCTGTTGCGATACGAGCGAAATGCGGGGGAGGGAAAAGCTTGCAGTTCACTCGAACGGGAAAAAACAGGGTAGACGAGAGAAATGTTTGTCGGTGCAACGAGAGAGATTTCGCTGTGATTCGTTGGCATGCAGATACTGCATGCATATACATCCCATACATGGATGCTCGGTGAGGGGGGGGGGCAGATCTGTGTTTTCGTCTTCCCTCTCTTTCTGTCTCTTCCCAGTTTGAGAATTCCTCATTTTCCACGTAGACCTCGCTTACCGTATATTTGTTTGGCGGTTTGGCTACGCAAGTTGGCCCACTGGCTCTGAATAATGCATGAGAGGCTTTTTTTTGCTTTCCTTTTTTTTTTCCACCCCAACCTCCTCTCTTTTCTACTCGGTAAGCATGCGGTAGTCGTTCGATTCAACTCGCGACCCCTTTTTCGAAAATTGTTTTCGCTGCTGTTGTTGCTGCCGTTACTGTTATTCATACCAGACACGACAGGAGGACTTCTTATGAGATTTTTACAAACTTCGCGAGGACTTTTCGTGATTGTTTTATTTAAATCTTTTTTTTTTTTTCTCTCTGTCTCTTTCGAGATGATGTTTTGTACCTTGCAATTGCGAGACGTCAAAACGTTTATTCGTGGAGTCTTTTGAAAAATATTACAATCATTCAATTTATTATGAAATTCCGTAAGTTCTCACATTATACGTATGAATTCAGGATACAGTATATTTATATAAATAGGTATTGGCCATTGGTCAAGTTAACACTTTTTTCATAGAGCATACTCTAATGCATATGCATACTATTGTTTTTAGTTTTTTACAACAATTGTATGTATCTTATGAAAATAATAATCAATCTATTTTAAAAAATACCATTGCTGTTGTTTTATTTGTATAGTATACTATGGTAAAATAAATAAATAAATATTTTTTTTACTCTATTGATTTTTTTTAGCTAAAAGCAAAAAAAAACAGAATAAAAAATTGTAACCCGAGGCGCTATGTATCGAACTGGTTTGATTCTCTTTGCTACATTGGTGGTATTTTCGAAATTTTTATGCAATTTTCTGTAAAATATAAAAATAAAGAGAAGTTGAGGACTGAAAAAAACTAATTCAGCGTAAAAAGTACTTTGTTACAAGGAGAAATAATTTGAGAATGAAAAGAAAAATATAAGGTTTCTCCTTCGCAATTAGCACATAAAAGTGACAAATCAAGAAACAAGAAATATTTTGTGACTTTTGATTAATTAACAGTTTGAACATTGGAGTGGGCAAACAGTAGTGGGTAACAATGTACAGTAGTAAACCACTCGGCTTTTGCTTGCTCAGCAAATTTGCCAGCGGCAACTTGACGCAATTTGATAATTAAGTCAATAGATGAAACAAAATTGAAAGTAGGAAAATAAATAGGAACTGGGACCAAAGCACGAGTGGATGATTATTATTGTATTATCATTAAATACTATGAAAAAAAAAAAAAACAGGGTTGTTATATTTGACTAAAATATCGCTATTTTTTTTTTTACGTTGCAGAGACTACAATGGCCGAGCAGTGGCGCACATCAGGAGATCTGCCAATTGAAAGGCGGTAACAACGACACGTGTCAAAATTACGTCCGTGTGTTTGGCAGACTCGGGCCTGACAAGTTCATGACCTGCGGAACCAACGCCAACAAGCCGTGGTGCAAACACTTTCGCATACAGGTAATCACTCACTTTCACGTTTACAAAAGAGCGTATTATTAATCACACGATTTCCAACTTTGCCACTTGTGGCAGTTTCAAACGTATACCCCCCCTCTCTCTCGGTGCTACGTGCCACAGAGCCATTTCCCTAAACCTACACGTATAGCTATAGAAATCGATATTTACGGAAATTAGCTTATTATAGACTTTTTATTAAAAGAAAAAAAAACTATTTTTGCAAAGTAACAAACAGTATCAATCATAATTTAAGAGTAGATTTTTTAATCGAGTTCTTTTATTGGTTTTACCAAAAATATCCGCATTTTATGATAGTTACATTGAAAGCATTCACATATTTGGAATCAAAAATAGGTCATTTGAAGGAAAAAAAAAAAAAAAAAAAAATCGAACAATGACGGAAAGATAAAAGCAGAGTACTTTGTAAAATTATTCGTTTTTTCAGTGACACATTTTTAAAACTCCCCAGCGAATAACTTGAAACGCTACTTTGATAATTTCATACTTATGATTGACCCTCGCAACTATAATACAATGCATGCCCTGGATCGTAATGTATTTTGGAACACCAGCACATGAACGTACAATTCGCGTATTAATACCGTGTCTACTCGAGGGATACAAACACAACGTGACCCTCACGTCGTACGCACAGCCGGCAAGTAGAAAAGCCGTGTGGAAAACCCATAAGTACAACGTGTAGCGTGTAAGGAGTAATTTTTACAAGGGGAAGAAGAAAAAAAGGTTGCATAGTTGCGTCGCCCGGCGTGCGTGCGCTTTATTTATTATTATTATTTTTTTTTTTTTTGCAAAATTACGTATCAGCCGAGCATGCGAGATTTCCAAGCAGGTGCGCCCACGATTATCGCGAATCACATCAGCGCTGCCGTAACCATATACGTATACGTATGCATGTATGTACGTGCCCTCGTATGGTATTTTATGCTGCAGCATGTGTACACACACACACACCACCGGCAGCCAGGCTCGGGAGGTCCGCGAGACAGGTAGGTATAGAGCCTGAAAGTCCGAGAGGCACGCAATTCGAGTCCCTGCGCGGCTAATCGATCAAGGCGAGATCCTCGGCGTATTTAACATGTATAACGGCGAGGTGGTGGGTGTCGAGGATATATATAAGAGCTGCAAGGAACACGAGGGGGATGATAGTCCGGCCTCAATTTGAATAAATTTACGCGATTCGCTATCGCAGTCTCGGGCCCGAATTAATCGGAATTAATTATCCACAGCATATAGCTGCTCGGCACCTACACCCTATGGTCGCTTCATTTCCGGAAACGACCACCCCCTTACCCTCCCCCTCCCCTCCCTGTACTCTGCTCTTTCCCCCGTTATTTATTTCCACCCCTTGTATATATACTCCCTCGCAGCACACGGTGTTTTTGCCCCGCAGTGCATCGTTTTAGCGCAAGCTCAACTACTTATCTCCCTCTCCAAAGTAAGTGTACTTGCCTTACACGCGGTATAGCTTCTGTTATAGCTGCAATCAGTTTTTCCTTTTAACGGTGCATATATTATATATTTGTGTATCCGATTTCGCGATAGTGATTTTCTTAAAACCTTAAAGGTACGGTAATTTTTCGTCTCGAAGGGTTGATGGGACCGTTTTTTTTTTTTTTTTTTATTTCAACCAGTGCAGAAAAGGGGATTCAAGAGAAGGAGCTTTGTGACAATTGTAAATATTATATTGTCGAGTGATCGGTGCCACATATATATGTGTATAATATGAGGATCGAAAAGTACGTGCACCCGCGCGTAAATCTTGCATGTACATGATTGAAACAGGTGCACCGACATGTAAGAAGCTTGGAGGAAAAAAAAAAAGGTACGGGAAAGACTGAATAACGAGAAAGGAAGAGAGAACCAACTGCGAGGGGTTTGCGCTCACCGCAACAAGTCGGAGGGAGACTAATGGCACATGGGCGTGCCGCTTTGCCTGAACGCTCCGATTTTCCGATCTGTATACAGTGTAAAGGCGTGGAGCTTTCGCGCGCGCGTCAAAGATAAAACGTGAAAAAAAAAAAAAAAAAAAAACAAAAAGAAAAATCCGACGAATAGAAATAGATACATGCATTGGTGTGCATATACCACAAGCGTGTATGCGAGTGATGCGTCAAATTCGCACGCAAGTGGTATGAATATGTGCATCTGCGCTGTCCCTCGTGCCTTTTACCATTATACGCCCGTGTACATGTATGCATGGGTAACGTATGGTACATAATCCCACTCGTCGTCGTGTGGCTCTTTGCAGAAACGCATTGCACGTAGAAATAGAGAGAGAGAGAGAGAGAGAAGTGCAGCACACACACAACGGTTTAATATATGGTAGCACGAGATAAATCACGCGTCGCGCTTCCGGAAGGCATCAGCTATATACACGCCACGCATCGTTGTTGCCGCGCTCTTCAGTGCCATTATTCTCTTTTTCCGCTTCGCGCCATCATCCTGTCTCTTTCCCTGCGTATACACGTATCCATATATATATATATATGTACCTATACAATCGTATACAATACATACGTATGATGTCGTGGGTATTATATCGCGGGGTGTACGCGTGTAACCGGCTATAGTTGCAGCAGTTCCTGGTGGCCCAACACCTACACGCTGCCCGATCGCGTAGCATATGGCACACGCACCGGCTATACCTTACCTATGTATAAAAAATTACCACTAGCCCCATACTTAGTCGTATATCACACCGCACTATATACTTTGGTTTTTCTCTTTTCCCGTAGGTAAGTATATATAGGTAATATAATTTACCTTCCGGTCCTTCCATACAGCATCCTTCATCCATGGGTATACCCATATATATATATACTTTCCCTTCGATCCCTTACATAAGTATATTTATGTACACACCTACAACCAACTTGTAAGCTGCATTAAATTTAAGTACCTTGTATGGATTGGTATCGGTAAAGGGACAGCTGGTCGACACGTGACGATTGGGGAAGAAGAAAAAGAAGAAGAGGATGAAGTTATATATGGCTTTGGAGTGGCGTTTGTCAGGCTGGAAAAGTTTATCGGGAAATGGTCCCGATGCTCGGTATGCGCCGCGTGCACACACAGGCCAAGTAAAATACGTGTATCGTTCTCCATGGGAGCGAAGGCGGCGAGGGAGCCTCAATGGAGGAGAAAGTGGATAGCAGGGAAGCTTTGTATGTATAGGGAGGAAACAGGTAGACTACTCGATATGATAGACAGCATCAGCCGGGGATAAGCTGTACTATGGGTGGATACGTATATATGTGTATACATGTAACTACAAACGGAAGGCCAAAGAATCGGCAACTTTTGTATAACGTGTGAATGTGCGCTGTACCTATATATACCTATACTCTCCTCTGCACGCCCCGAGAGAGCGAGATAACACACAGTCACGGACGTGCTTTCTCTCTCTCTCGGCTACCTATCTACTCGGCTGCAGATCTTCCAACCCCATCCCATGGTGTATATATATATATGTTATATTGTACACACAATACCTTGCAGCCTATCTCCCTCTGTTGTACGCGTCTCTCTCTCTCTCTTTCTCCCTGTAGGTATATATACATATACACGTCGAAAATTTGAAATTCGCATCTCGGTGTACTTGCAGTATATATATATGTAAGCGCAGCATCCGCTCACTGCTGCTCGTCACTCCAGTCACGTGGCATCGTAATGCTCTGTACAGCTCTACCTCTTTCTCTCTCTATCTATTCGAATGCATATATATGGTATACCAATCCTATATTCATCTATCCGTCCATCCCCCAATTCACTGCACAGCATCTCCGCTATACATATAGAGCTGCCGGTATTATCTATCTATAGTATCATGTATCATACACTTACTCCGAGCTTTTATCTCATGGCTCTCTAAGTGTGCGCGTCGATTTGGACTCTATGTTTTTGCAGTATACGTTATCATAACTGTCAAAAAATATACAGTATATATAGGTATCGCCTCGTGTATACATTATTGAGTCCGGCAAGTTGCGGTCATTGGGCGACAGGTTACGAGTTGGAGTTACGGCCGCATATTATGTTTATGATCGATTTCCGCGTCTCTCTTTTTCTTTGTTTGCCATGCTTTTTTTTAAATTTTTTTTTTTTTTTTATTCTTAGCGCTACTCAAGTTGGATGCTCTTCGCGTGCTCCCTCGAGTTGGTAACACAGTTACTCTCATTATATTATTTCATTTGAATGAAATGATTTTCATGTGCGAACGGCATGACACCGATCCTGGCTGGTGATAAATTTTATCGTCTCTTGTACGTGTACCTATATACACTACACACGCGCGCGTCCACCCCGTGAATTTTGCATACCGTCAATTATGAAAATTTTTTTTCAGATAATTCATTTAAACTGCCGGTGCGATATCGAGTGTATAATAGAAAATTTATCTCTCAACGCGACTGTAACACTTATTTTACGGCCTCGTTTACAACTAAAATTCAAGCGTTTTTTTTTTTTTTTTTTTTTTTCAAGAGTACAAACAAATATATACGTCATTATGAAATAATTATTTCGCTTCTTATATACTTTATCCATCTTGATGTTCATTGCAACCGGGAACTATCGTTGTGTCGCGTTTTAGCACATTGGGTGCATATAATTGATTGCACAGGTAAATGAGAAGAGCATAAATATGTAATTTTTCCTGCAAGAGATTAAAATTCGACAGAGCGTGGATGTAAAAATACGGTTCCCAACAAAGGATGCGCCGTTTGAGGAAAATCAAAGGGATGCGAGTAGAAAGAAAAACTGCGACTCCTCTCCTCTGGGTGGATGTGAAAAAACATCATTCCGAATAAAAAACAATGCTCGTTCGGTGTTTCACTTGGAAACGAGACCAATCTTTCCATGTTAAATGCCTATAATACATATATATACCACGGGAACACACTTACATGTGCATCGATTTCTCATAAAAGACTTTTATTTTTTTTCACTGGAGCTATTTGGGTTCACGGGTCAAAACGAAATTA